GTACATAAAATGTTGTGTTTATTGAGACACGTAGCATTGTAAATCTTCTCAAATAGAAAGCATTCTTTACAGCATCAGGCAGGAAATGTCTCACTTTTTATTTTTTACACGTTTTCTGTCTCTTTTCTCAGAGGGAAGATGCGAGTCGGGTCAGGCTAGCACGCTGTGGTAGTCCGGTAGATACATGGTTATATTTAGTGAGATAGGGAATTTTGATTTTTCTTTACTTTTTTTCCAAAATCATCCATATTAAAACAATAAAAGTCTTGAACTACTTCAGTTGGTGTGCAATGAATCTAAAATATATGAAAGTTTAATGTTTATCAGTACATTAAAGAAAATAATTAACTTTATCACAATATGCTAATTTTTTGAGAAGGAACTGTAATAATGTCCTCCTTGTTTGTTTCAGGAAAGAGGTCAGTGCCACTGTAAACCCAACGTCTGCAGTGGAACCTGCTCGACTTGTAAAGACGGCTTCTACAACCTGCAGGATCACGACTACTTTGGCTGCCAGGGTGAGCGATCTTCAGCAAAGCCTCTAAAAATAGCCTCTGAGCACAAACCTGATTGTTTGTTTGTGCTGCTCATTAGGCTGCCGGTGTGACACTGGGGGGTCGGTGGGTCAGTTCTGTGGAGACAGAAATGGTCAGTGTCGTTGCAGACCCAACGTAGAAGGACCTCAGTGTAATCTGTAAGTACAAAGATCTGAGAGGAATACGCTTTATTTTGGTCTGCCACCAAGAACACATGAATTAATGAGCAGCTTCTAATGAAATGTTCTGGAAGCTGTAAATTAACCTCCTTACCCCAAAGGGGTTTTCTTGAAGTTTTTTCTTAAAATACCATGCAGAAACGTAAGACTGTTTCTCAGCATTTATAAACTCTACTTAATAGTCTTGATATCAAACTAAAGTTAACACTTGAGATTTCATCAGAAGTGTAAGTATATGTTTTCATTTTTTTTTACTCTCACCTGAATAATTTTTTCATTAGACAGTATATAACCCATTTAAAACCATAATGAATCATGCTAAAAACTCTTGGAAATCATAAATCCACTTGTGGATGTTACCTGTGCAAATATTCATGCTGCTAAAATTACCTGGAGCAAAGTTACAGAGATTTTAGTAAGAACTAATTTAGCATTTTAGGGCAGAGTGCCTTCTCCGGGTCAGGGGGGTCGTCTTGCTTCAAGTGGAGGAGTTTAAGTATCTGGGGATCTTGTTCACGAATGTGGGAAGAACGGAGCGGGAGATCGACAGGCGGATTGGCGCAGCGTCTGCTG